TTACAGAGGGGAGGTCAGGGCCGATGAGGGGTGAGACCGTGAGGGTGAAGGTGGGCTGTATGGCACCAAGGTAAAAACTGAAAAATGTTTCATGCCCATTTTACTAGATTTAACTCATGTTTTAAAATCATCACACAAATTAAAGTTGACTACTCAAGGCTTTTATGAAGCACTACATCTACATCCTTCTTGCTTTCTTGTTATAATTATGCACAACTCTGTTAATGAACTTCTTGAATGCAATGGTTTCATCTTTGGTGGCTTCTTGTGTGTCCAGTACTTCCATTCCTTCAATTTATATGCTCATTAGTTCATTCACATGATCAGGCAGAAGGCGACTTCTTTCAGAACACAAAATTCTATTCAATGATGAAAAAGAACACTCAACTGTAGCTTTTGTGACTGGGAGTAGCAAGAGATGAATTCCTACTTCTTTCATCCAGAAACATAGCACAAAGATCGGGTCAAGCCACTAGTGATGTTAAAAAAGAACTTGAAGTCAAATCTTCATTCATTCATCCTATGATATTCCACTCTGTGTTCAAATTCTCTATTCTGTCCTGAGCACATGGCAGCCCCATTGCTGGTAGTGCCTCACTCCACTCAACTGTCAGTGTTTTATAGGACAGGAATTTGTAAAAGCTATGTAGAGGTCGAGTAGAATCTAGAAGTCGCTGTTGTAGACTTTTAAGGGCTGGTTTTGTTCAACATCTTCATTAATGATCTGAATGAAGGGATGGATTGCATGCTCACCAAGTTCGCAGATGATACTAAGCTTGGGGGAGAGGTAGGGATTAGCTTGAGGGTAGGGATAGGGTCCAGAGTGACCTAGACAAATTGGAGGATTGGGCCAAAAGAAATCTGATGAGGTTCAACAAGGAAAAATGCAGAGTCCTGCACTTAGGACGGAAGAATCCCAGGCACTGCTACAGGCTGGGGATCGACTGGCTAATTGGCAGTTCTGCTGAAAAGTACCTGGGGATTACAGTGGACAAGAAGATGGATATGAGTCAACAGTGTGCCCTTGTTGCCAAGAAGGCTAACAGCATATTGGGATGCATTAATAGGAGCATTGCCAGCAGATCGAGGGAAGTGATTATTCCCCTTTATTTGGCACTGGTGAGGTCACATCTGGAGTATTGCATCCAGTTTGGGACCCACCCCCCACTACAAAAAGGATGTGGAGAAATTGGATAGTCCAGCGGAGGGCAATGAAAGTCTTTAATTAAATGTTCACAGTACTTGTCCCACAGGACATTGCCACATTCATGGGTTGCCATTAGGCATTTCCATAATAAACATGATCAGTAATCATAATAATGAGCAGCTATTCAATAGTTTGTTTTCTCCTCATTTTTCAATGAAGGGCCCTAGGCACTATTTAAACGCTACTTGGAAGATGTTATTAAGAAATTATTAATTTCCTCACTTGGTTTTTTTATGGAACCTCATCACTATTGTATCTGAGAACTTCACAAACATTAATTAACATATCTTCATACCACTCTTGTAAGACGGCAGGGTATTATGATCCCATTATACAGATGAGGAACTAAGGGTCAGAAAGATTCAGGTCAAAAGTATCCTCTGATTCTGGGTGCCCAATTTGAGACACCAAGGACATGACTTTCAGAGTACTGAGCATTATATAGCATTTTATATTTTTGTAGCATTTTATTAAGTTTATTAAGCTCCCATTAAGTGAAGCTGCAGCTATGGGTATATCTACACTATGAAATTAGGTCGATTTTATAGAAGTCAATTTTTAGAAACCAATTTTATACAGTCAATTGCGTATGTCCACACTAAGCTCATTAAGTCGGCGGAGTGCGTCCTCACTACCATGGCTAGCATCGACTTACAGAGTGGTGCACTGTGTGTAACCACCCACAGTTCCCGCAGTCTCCACTGCCCATTGGAATTCTGGGTTAAGCCCCCAATGCCTGATGGGTCAAAAATATCGTCGCGGGTGGTTTGGGTACATGTCGTCAGGCCTCCCCTGCTCCATGAAAGCAACAGCAGATGCCATACCATGGCAAGCATGGAGCCCGCTCAGCTCACCGTCACCGTACATTTCCTGGGTGCTGCTGGCAGATGCTACACAGCAGCAGCGCCTTGCCTTCGCGGAAGACGGTGCAGTAGGACCGATAGCCATTGTACCTCTCCTGGGTGCTCCTGGCAGACCTCGGTGAGGTCGATCAGGGGCGCCTGGACAGACATGGCTATCCTCCTCTTAGAGCACCGAATGGGAGCCAGAGACTCCAGGTCATTCTCTTTAAGTTTCGTCTCATGGAAATTCAATCCTGCCTGGAATATCATGCGAGCTGGAGGCTTCTGCCTCAGGCTGCTCTCCCAGCTGGCAGCACCGCGTGGTCGCACCTACCCCAGCCTACCCCTTGTTCCCATGGCTCATGAACAGGGCTGGCTCCAGGCACCAGCCAACCAAGCACATGCTTGGGGCAGCATCTTGGGGCAGGGCGGCACCCAATTTTTTTATTATTTATTTATTGATTCAGCGGCGCGGCGCTTGGAGGGGGGGCGGGGGCTTCGGGCGGCATGGTGCTTGGAGGGGGGGGGCTTCGGGGGCGGGGGCTGGCGCGGCGCTCGGAGGGGGAGGGGGCTTCAGGTGGCGCGATGCTTGGAGGGGGCAGGGCTTCGGGTGGCACGATGCTGGGGGGCGGGGATTTCGGCGGTGCTTGGGGGGGGGGGGAGGAGGTATGGCAGGGTGGCAAAAAAGTTAGAGCCGGCCCTGCTCATGAAGCCTGCACAGTAGTAAGGAACAGTTGAACTATAGGCTAAGCAAGTGCAGAATGGTGGTAGAATGTGCCTTTGGACATTTAAAAGCTTGCTGATGCTGTTTGCTGACTAAGTCAGACCTCAGCGCAACCAACATTCCCATTGTTATTTCTGCTTGCTGTGTGCTCCATAATATCTGTGAGAGTAAGGGGGAGATGTTTATGGCGGGGTGGGAGGTTGAGGCAAATCACCTGGCATCTGATTTTGAACAGCCAGACACCAGGGCAATTAGAAGAGCACAGCAAGGTGCACTGCGCATCAGAGAGGCTTTGAAAACCAGTTTCATGACTGGCCAGGCTTCGCTGTGACAGTTGTGTGTGTTTCTTCTTGATGCAAACCCGCCCCCTTTGTTGATTTTAATTCCCTGTAAGCCAACCACCCTCCCCCTTTTGAAATAAGGTAACTATTGTTTTGAAACCATGCATTCTTTCTTTATTAAGTAAAAAAAAAAGAGAACGGACAAGGTAGCCCAGGTAGGGTGGGGGAGGAGGGAAGAACAAGGCCACATTGCTTATTGTAGCCACACTCTAAAATCAAACTCTTTGAATGACAGTCTTTTGTTTCTTGAGCCATCCTCTGCAGTAGAGTGGCTGGGTGCCCGGAGCCTCCCCTCCATGTTCTTGGGCTTCTGGGTGGGGCGGCTATGGAACATGAGGAGAAGGGTAAGCGGTTATACAGTGGATGCAATGGGGGTCTGTGCTCTTGTTGGCTTTCCTGCAGCTCCAACAGATGCTTCATCATGTCCATTTGCTCCCCCATTAGCCTCAGCATCGCATCCTGCCTCCGCTCTTCGTGCTCACTTAATTCTTTCCTGGCCCTTTTGAGGGCCTGAAACACCAATTGCACCATCTCCTCTCTCCACTGTTGAATAGCAGAGCTAAGTTTGATTCCACTAAGAGTCTAGTTACAGGCTGCTATGCTGAATTCACTTTGGGCTAATGGTGCACCAGCATTGGGGCTCCCCTACTACAAGCGGAGATCACTGACTGCTGTGTTAACTAGTGCGGGAGCCTGAAGATTTATTGCTAAACGGCTGGCAGAGCAGTTTGTGGGATGGTTGGTGCGGCCCACGGGACGGGGAGCAGAGTTGAGCAGTTTGCGGCATGGTTGGCGTAGCCCACGGGACAGCGGAGAGGAGCGGAGCAGTTTGTGGGACGGCGGGAGTGGCTCAGGATGGCTGGAGGAATGGAGCGGCTCGTGGTGAAGGCTGCAGCAGAACCCCATGGAGAGGCGGGGCAGTCGGCCTCGGACCACGTAAGGTGCCCCTTAATACCCTGTGTGCCCCTTTCTCCCCCCCCCCCATTTCCACCCAGGCTGGGGGTGCGGGGGGTAAGACTGTGCAGATAAACTTTTCAACTCTGGGGCTGCACTGACCAGGGACAGAGACTTTTGGGGTGTTGGACTTTTGGGACTTTGGGGGTGGGTCTTTTGCTCATGGTTTGTGTTATGAATCCTGTTTGTGGTGTTTTTCCAATTTAATGCTGATGTCGTTTACCTCATGTTATTAAACATTTTCGGCTACACTCAGACTCCGTGCTTGTGAGAGGGGAAGTATTGCCTCTTAGAGGCGCCCAGGGGGTGGTATGTAATTGTCCCAGGTCACTGGGTGGGGGCTCGAGCCGGTTTTGCATTGTGTTATTGAAAAGGAACCCCTAGATACTGAACCCGGCCCTTGTTACTGCCAACTAAGATGGGCAGAAGGGTTACAATTGTGTCCCCCCTTCCCAATATAGCAGTCATGCGGAGTGGAGTATACTGTGCTGGGCGAAGCCTTGATATGGGTTGAGTTAAAACCCTATTGGGGTTAACAGATGTTAATTCGCCTTCAAAACATAACTTTAAGCAAAAGCCTGTGCCTACGACAAAAGGAGTGAGTAAACTCACCCAGGAGCTTTTGGCTAAATACTGTTTTGCAGGTGGGGTGTGGGAAGGCAGAACAGAAAATCCAGGAATGGATCTGGTGAAAGCTTGGTGGCTGACCCTGGAAAAAACCCGGGGAGAGGATTATGGATTGGGGTGTAGGCTGAAAAGAGTGCTCTTGGTGCTGTGAGCAAAAGAAGATATTTCCTGCTATTTGGTTTGTTCTGCATCCAAAGACACAGGACTTTGTATGGTCTTTGTAAATAAACAAAACTGCATCAAAGAAAATACCAGACTCCCATGATTGGTGAGAAAGGCACACACTCTAGTCTGAGACAATCTGTTTTATTAATTCAAACCTTTATTTTAACCAGAAGCATTCCTTGCAATGACAATTACTACTACTACTTAAAGGTAAGAAATGACAGACATATAGAAAAAGAGTAATGGCCAGTTACCTTCTCCTGGGACGTAGGTGGGTCATGATGGATGTCTCCTACGAACTCCAACTACCCTGTCCACCCAACACATTTTATCAAACATGCTAATTACATATTTATTATTTATCTTCCAAAAACATTTGGTATTATGAATATTAAGTATTACATGCAACATATAATATGCATGCATGAACTTTAATTGGCATGTAACTTTTGCTGCTTTTGCTAATTTCATTTGGTTATTCTTACTTCTGATGGGTTTATTACCACTGATTATACATATCTGTGCAAATTTGGCCAGGTCACCTTGACCTGTTTCTCTGCATAGGGGCTTTTTGCCTATTTTTCCTTTAATTGTCTCTTGGCAGTACATTTGGTTGAATTTAAGCTTGCCACCATATTCCATATAGCAACTTTTAATCACAACACCCAGGCCAAACAAAGTCAGCCTGTTGGAAAAATGTCCAAATTTATGCATAAGAAATTACTCTTAACATTATTTTCAGTACCATCAATTTCCCCTACCAACTGGAACATCCCCAGGGCCCCAAAACATCTTGGGTCAAAAAGGGGCCACAATAGCTTCATACATAAAGGTAGTGGAATCATAATAGCCAGATTGTTGACAACAAACATTCTCTTGAGAATACAGCAGAGCTGGAACTGAAGCTGTATCTGAAAAAACAGATGATATATACTGGCCAAACATGATCAATAACAATAATACACAGTCCGTGTGTAGCGCTTTTCATGACTACATCTCAAAGCACTTTAGCATCATTTTCCCTATCGTACAGATGGGGCAACTGAAGTACAGGAAGGTGAAGTACATGCCCGAAGTCACCTGGCAGGCAAGTGGCTGAGCTGGAAATATGATTCAAATCTCCTGAATCCCAGTCCAGTGCTGTATCTGCTGGGCCACATTGCCTCTGATCAGAGGCCTGGTGAGCAATTGTGATACATGTGGGGAAATGTAGGACAAAGGAGGAAATACAAAAACAACAGCAACAAGTAAAATACTCAGCTTCCCCAACATGCCTAGCAAAGTAGAAATTGACTTTTTCACAGCAAACCACATAGACTACCTCAGCAGGAATAGGATCCCAGACAGTGTCATTTCACACAGAGAACCTCAGTTATGTTGCAGTGAGTTTATACAATTTACCAAGGAATGGGAATTCAGTCCCATCACGTACTCAACATGTCACAGCCAGTCAAATGGCAAAGCCCAACTGGCAGTGAAAATTGCTAAGACTGTATTAAAGAAAGCTGTATATGTGGCAAGCCAGCCTTGAATGGAGAAACACTTCTTAGGCCTTAATAGCAGCCCGGTAGAAGGCTTGATGTGAAGACATGTGTAGCCTGGTACACCTCTACCTCGATATAATGCTGTTCTCGGGAGCCAAAAAAATCTTACCACGTTATAGGTGAAACCGCGTTATATCGAACTTGCTTTGATCCACCGGAGTGCGCATTATATCCAAATTTGTGTTATATCGGGGTAGAGGTGTACCTATAACTCCAGCATTACAACCATTGGTCATGGTGGAAAGAGTAACAGACTAAAAGGAAAAGAAAGATGTGCAAAGGAAGTGGTCTAGGGGATTAGAGCACTGGGCAGGGATTCAGCAGACCTGGGCTCTGCTCCTATGTCTTCCACTGGCCTGCTGGCTGATCTTGGACAAGTCATTTCACCTCCCTGAACCTCAGTTTCCCCACCTGAAAAATGGGGTAATGATACTGACCTCCTTTGTAAAGTACTTTGAGATCTAGTGATTAAATTATTATTACTATGACCAACAAGCTAAAGACCTCCCAGAACTACAACCATGAGAACCTGTAAGGATCAAATGATTTCCTCCAGACAAATTATGCCCTTGGAGCAAGCTACAGGTAAACCCTCACTCCTGTAATGTAGCAGTGGCTGGGCACGTTTCACAGGAACCACAAATCCATATGCCCAACTATGAACAGACGTGGAGGACAGTGAAATATGAGACTTGATCAGTAGGACACATCAGGAACACAAGTCAATGAGCAACTGATAGATGTTGGAGCAACTCTCAAAACACCACCATACCCTCACCTGTCATTACAAGACTTGCATTTGCTCCAACATCAACCTGCCTGCAAGGGAGACAAGACACAGGCATGAAAGAACAACCCTCTCAAACCCAAAGGAAAAATACCTCAGTTCCTAAGCAAGTTAACAATTAGTAGAATAAAAAAAAAGACAATAAATGAAGAGTTGGTGTTAAGTCATACGTGATTAGACAGATTTTAAGGGAGTGTACTAGAATGTTCAATATGTGAGCAAATTATAAGATCTGTGTTTAATTTTGCTATCACAAATGTGACAAAAGGATGTTACAATAGATAGCTTCCCCCAGAGGGAGCACTATAGTATCATAGTGTGCTTATGTATATGGCAAATCTACACAGACACACCCATAGAATACCCCTGGTCGGGGCTCTATCTGCTATCCAAGATCCATAAACCTAGGAATCCTGGACGCCCCATCATCTCAGGCACTGGCGCCCTGACAGCAGGATTGTCCGGCTTTGTGAACTCTCTCCTCAGGCCCTACGCTACCAGCACTCCCAGCTATCTTCACGACACCACTGACTTCCTGAGGAAACTACAATCTTCCAGAAAACACCATCCTAGCCACTATGGATGTAGAATCATAGAATCATAGAATATCAGGGTTGGAAGGGACCTCAGGAGGTCATCTAGTCCAACCCCCTTCTCAAAGCAGGACCAATCCCCAACTAAATCATCCCAGCCAGGGCTTTGTCAAGCCTGACCTTAAAAACCTCTAAGGAAGGAGATTTTATGACCTCCCCAGGTAACCCATTCCAGTGCTTCACCACCCTCCTAGTGAAAAAGTTTTTCCTAATATCCAACCTAAACCTCCCCCACTGCAACTTGAGACCATTACTCCTTGTTCTGTCATCTGCTACCACTGAGAAGAGTCTAGATCCATCCTCTTTGGAACCCCCTTTCAGGTAGTTGAAAGCAGATATCAAATCTCCCCTCATATTTTCTCTTCTGCAGACTAAACAATCCCAGTTCCCTCAGCCTCTCTTCATAAGTCATATGCTCCAGCCCCCTCATCATTTTTGTTGCCCTCCGCAGGACTCTTTCCAATTTTTCCACATCCTTCTTGTAGTGTGGGGCCCAAAACTGGACACAGTACTCCAGATGAGGCCTCACCGATGCCGAATAGAGGGGAATGATCACGTCCCTTGATCTGCTGGCAATGCCCCTACTTATACAGCCCAAAATGCCATTAGCCTTCTTGGCAACAAGGGCACACTGTTGACTCATATCCAGCTTCTCGTCCACTGTAACCCCTAGGTCCTTTTCTGTAGAACTACTGCCCAGCCATTCGGTCCCTAGTGTGTAGCAGTGCATGGGATTCTTCTGTCCTAAGTGCAGGACTCTGCACTTGTCCTTGTTGAACCTCATCAGGTTTCTTTTGGCGCAATCCTCTAATTTGTCTAGGTCCCTCTGTATCCTATCCCTACCCTCCAGCGTATCTACCACTCCTCCCAGTTTAGTGTAATCTGCAGACTTGCTGAGGGTGCAGTCCATGCCATCTTCCAGATCATTAATGAAGATATTAAACAAAACCGGCCCCAGGACCGACACTTGGGGCACTCTGCATGAGCTATTGATCACTACCCATTGAGCCTGACGATCTACCCAGCTTTCTATCCACCTTATAGTCCATTCATCCAGACCATACTTCTTTAACTTGCTGGCAAGAATACTGTGGGAGACCATATCAAAAGTTTTGCTAAAGTCAAGGAATAACACGTCCACTGCTTTCCCCTCATCCACAGAGCCAGAAACTCTCTACACCAACATTCCATACAAAGATGGACTACAAGCCGTCAGGAATAGTATCCCAGATAATGTTACGGCAAACCTGGTGGCTGAACTTGACAATTTATACCTTCAAGTCAGCGGGACTACTATGGGTACTCACATGGCCCCACAGTATGCCAACATTTTTATGGCTGACTTAGAACAATGCTTCCTCAGCTCTTGTCCCCTCGCGCCTCTACTCTACTTATGCTACATTGATGACATCTTAATCATCTGGACCCATGGGAAGGAGGCCCTTGAGGAATTCCGTCAGGATTTCAACAATTTCCACCCCACCATCAACCTCAGCCTGGACCAGTCCACACAAGAGATCCACTTCCTGGACACTACACTGCAAATAAGTGATGGTCACATAAGCACCACCCTATACCGGAAACCTACTGACCGCTATACTTACCTACACGCCTCCAGCTTTCATCCAGACCACATCACACAATCCATTGTCTACAGCCAAGCTCTAAAATACAACCGCATTTGCTCCAATCCCTCAGACAGAGACAAACACCTACGTGATCTCTACCAAGCAGTCTTAAAACTACAATACCCACCTGGTGAAGTGAAGAAACAGATTGACAGAGCCAGAAGGGTACCCAGAAGTCACCTGCTACAGGACAAACAAAGAAAGTAACAGAATGCCATTAGCCATCACCTACAGCCCCCAACTAAAACCTCTCCAGCACATTATCAAGAATCTACAACCTATCCTGAAGAACGATCCCTCACTCTCACAGACCTTGGGACACAGGCCAGTCCTCGCTTACAGACAGCCCCCTAACCTGAAGCAAATACTCACCAGCAACTACACACCACACAACAGAAACACTAGCCCAGGAACCAATCCCTGTAACAAACCCCGTTGCTAACTCTGTCTGCATATCTATTCAAGGGACACCATCGTAGGACCTAACCACATCAGCCACACCATCAGGGGCTTGTTCACCTGCACATCTACCAATGTAATATATGCCATCATGTGCCAGCAATGCCCCTCTGCCATGTACATTGGCCAAACCGGACAGTCTCTACACAAAAGAATAAATGGACACAGATCAGACATCAAGAATTGTAATGTTCAGAAACCAGTAGGAGAACACTTCAATCTTCCTGGACACTTAATAACAGACTTAAAAGTGGCAATTCTTCAACAAAAAAACTTCAAAAACAGACTCCAACAAGAAACTGCAGAACTGGAATTAATTTGCAAACTAGACACCATCAAATTAGGCCTGAATAAAGACTGGGAGTGGATGGGTCACTACAAAAAGTAATTTCCCCTCTGCTGATACTCACACCTTCTTGTCAACTGTTTGAAATGGGCCACCTTGATTGCATTGGCCTCGTTAGCACTTAGGGTGACCAGATGTCCTGATTTTATAGGGACAGTCCCAATTTTTGGATCTTTTTCTTATATAGGCTCCTATTACCCCCCCACCCTCTGTCCCGATTTTTCACACTTGCTGTCTGGTCACCCTATTAGCACTACAAAAGTAATTTTCCCTCCCTTGGTATTCACCCCTTCTTGTCAACTGTTGAGAATATGCTACTTCCACCTTAATTGAATTGGCTCATAAGCACTGACCACTTGGTAAGGCAACTCCCATCTTTTCATGTGCTAGAATATATATTCTGCTTACTGTATTTTTCACTCCA